CCCAGGCCCAGAGTACAGGCCCCACGACCAGACCCAAAAATAAAAAATAAAATAAAATACAATACAAAAGGTCATAGGAAGTACCATGTGGGAAATGACATGGAGGCAGTTAGAAAAGATAAGGAAAACATGACCCATGGTAAGTGTGGATTCAGATTTTGAAGACTCTGACATCTCCTGATATCCTGCCACTTGGGGTGTAGACCCCTGATGTATGTGCCGCTCTACCCTCAGTCAGCATCTCTTTACAGAAAAGGAAACAACTACCTATACCCCCTTTCACTACAGACAGAGTTTTGTGGTATTCTAGTCTTGCTTTGGGGAAGGAAGGAGGAGGACGAGGTAGCTCTAGCCATAACATGTTTGAATGACAGAACTCCATTCCATTGCCTCCTCAGAGATAATCCAGAAGCCACCCAGCAGATGAATGACCTGATCATTGGCAAAGTCTCTACAGCTCTGAAAGGCCATCGGGCCAACCCTGACTTGGTGAGTAGGCCGGCCAGTAGTCCTCCAGACCCCTCTAGGAGGCCAAGCGCAGCACATGTACAAAGATCACATCCTAAGATGATTTCTCAGATGGAGCCTACTGAATGGGGGTCTCCATTTCTCCTTGTCCCTGATGGGGCCATCTGTGACCAGACATTTCATTATGAATCCTGAGATCAGTTTGGACTCAGTCCCAGTCTGGGACTGACTGTGTAGATCCTTGTTGACTCATGTGCCTTCCCATTGGCCTCTAGGCAAGTAGTTTGCAGTATGAGATGCTGCTGCTGACAGATTCCATCTCGAAGGAGGACAGCTGCTGGGAGCTCCGTTTACGCTGTGGTGAGCTCAGGGAACATCTGGATTTGGGTCAGGGCTTTTCAGAGACTGGAAAGGAGGCACTAAGCCATAGTCTTGGCACCAACTGGGAGAGATGGAAGAAGGAGGACAGTTGGGCAGCCTTGTTGGGTAGGTGGCATATTTTTGTGATCATGACCTTGCCTTTCCTGATGGTCCCTAGCGCTGAGCCTTTTCCTCATGGCTGTGAATATTAAGACTCCTGTGGTAGTCGAGAACATCACCCTCATGTGCCTGAGGATCTTGCAGAAGCTTATTAAGCCACCTGCCCCAACCAGCAAGAAGAACAAGGTATGGGGCCAGGGAGGACAATGAGCATTGTGACTTGCTTCCTGAAGGTCTATGCCGTACTGTGAATGCATTGGCTAGGCTGCTTTTGTTTTTGTTGAGCATACATGTGGATGGGTTGAGGTTTTTGAGAAAGAGGTTTGGAGAAAAATGAACATGAAAATATAAAAGCTTAAGTGCTTTGAAAGCAAAAGCCATTGAAAGACTACCTTTTTAAATGACTTGTGGCTCCCAAAAATCACTGGGTTCTTTCCCACTTGTATGACTTGCTAAATTTTATTTCTATTACCTAGTATATACTAGAGCAATGTATGTATAATAGCTGCACAATACGTCATGATTAGGTGAATAAATAAAACTCAAGCTTTTATTCTGAAATATCCATCACTAAGCTACAGACTGACTTGCTGTAGGGGTTATAGATATGTAGGCCATAATTCATTCTCATGATCTTGCCTTCTTTTTTTT